TCCTCATAAGTAAATTCGAATCCGCAGTGATCACAGTATGCAAACTTTCCCGATACAGCGTTGTACCCCTTCTTATGTCTTAGGTACCGGAGTACCTGATCCGACACAACCACAGGGGGATCCCGAAAACTCTTGGACACTTTACAAGCATGATCAGAAAGATCCAGGAGAGTTCTGGTATCTGTGGGGAACATCTCTGTGGTAGCCATCCGTTCGTGGTATCTTGAAAGGCACTTGTCGGACATCTCTTTCCGTTGCGATCTCGCTGCGCACAAAACACCTTCTTGCAGCTTAAAGAAATTCTTGATCCAAACTGTAAGATGGGTGTGCACTGACTTTCGGCCTTGTTCTTCAAATGCTGCTGCCATCGCCAACACTTCCCCAAAAAGTCCCGGCTCTTCTGTAGCACAGTTGTTATGGCGGTCCCATCCTATAACTTCTTCACATAGAATGTCGAACAACATATCGAAATGGAGTGCTCCTAGTGCTGGAAAATCTAACCGAAGCTGTCTCCGTTCTTTGCTTCGTTCTTGAAGAATCTCCTCGCTTGCATCTTCCCAATCACCGTCAGGCCCTTCCACTTCTTTCCCGCTTAGTACTTCCATTAGCACACTGTTTTCGTCATCAAAGCTCACTGTCAAGAATACAGTACCCGTGCCAAAGTAGTGGTTCATTGATTCAGCGGTACCTCTAGCCAACTTGGCTGCTTCATTTGTGTGGGGCAGTGCTTTGCTGATAGCATTTACGGCATTCAGTATGCACTTGCTTGAAGTAGACCCGGCTTGATAATTCCCTGCTCTTCGACTTGATATAGCCCTAGACACGTCATCTCCATCTAGACCTTCCGCAATTGCCTTTGCAGAAAACTTCCCCTTCAACTGAAGTCGGGCTCTCTTGAAAAGTCGGATTTTTGTCCCAATACTATACACAACCAACTGGAACATAGGTGAATGAAATTCCGGTTGGGACAGCTGACAAAAGTGCGCCAGGAAGTCTTCTGTGTTCGTCCAGTTCCTCCAACATCCGTCCTCCATGAGTCTGAAATCCTTCATACTTCCGACGCCATATGGGAAGTTCAGCAAACACGACTGAATCAAGGCATCAGAATCCGTCCCTTGTAAAAAAGCCTTTGTAGGATCATGCTGGAGCTGTAAATCGAAACCCCTTCTCTTGCATCTCCTGGACAAATGTCTTGAACTCGCTCATGTTATCGAATCCACCATTGGTCTCAGTAGCTAGACCATCGGGAAAGTAGCAGCTGAAAAGTTCGTGTTGCTCCACATTCGAATTCTCAGATTCGACTTCTTTACTGCGATCCACTATCACAGGTGTCACACCCTCTAACTCTCTGCGGTACGCATCAAGATCGACGTGGTTCCAGCTCCGGTTATTCTGTACAAGCCATTCCACAGCAGCCATGATCTTGTCGGTACGAATACTCCGAGTTGCCTTCTTTTTCTGGTCTGGCGTCATCTTCCCTGATAGCAGTATCACGACATTCTTGTTCAGGCCCATTGCTTCTAGATGTGCCGTTGCACGACCAATCACATTGTAGTCTACCCGCATAAAGGTCATGATCCCCTTCAAAGTTTTCATCCTTCCGCCAACATAGGAAAAACAGTACCCGTAAGATTTCACTGGCGTAATAAAGGCTATCTCGACTTCTGTTAATTCCTTGAGAATATCAGGTGCACATCCAACAAAGTTGCTGTTGACAATAGCATATAGTGGCGTTTCAGGCTTCTCCTTCTTCAGTTTCCCGTGACATCCTTTGCAACAGGATATGCCCCATTTCGACCGTTGCGCCTTTTCCCGTAAACTCCACGTGGTGAAAGCGCCAGTTCACCAAGCCATCTTCGACATCCCTTCAGAACCCTCGCAGGTGGATCCCTAAAGCGGTAACAGTCTTCAACAGCTTCACAACGGTACTCCGATGATCTTGGAAGACTTTGTCCCAACGTAGATGTTCTTGAACTTCTTTAACTGATCGAAGAACAACCATTCCACATTGTTTTCTGCATGATGGTTTCATCGCATACGAGCAACATAGGGCGTAAACGTCTTGGTCCATGGATCCATCATCATCAGATTGTCATACCGACGGTTGATGTTAGCCTGAACGCACTCCACGGTCTTGACATTGCCGATAATTTCAAAAGGCTCAAAGTTGGACATGGACATGGAAGCTGCCACCAAGAAGAAAAGAAAGCCCCACGAAGCACTGCATGTAGAGGAACACATCCTGCCATTAGGATTTTGTGAGAACGAAGCCTATCTTCCACAGTTCTTCGAACAGACACTTTCGCTGTATGCATCGTGGTAATCGAAGCAAAATTGTACTCTATTATCTATACTCCGATCCAATTTTCACGATAGAACAGCTGACTTCACTGGTAGGCAATCACGCTATCTACACCCAACCACACAGTGAAAACAGCGTGACAAATCTTTATTCATTTCAGCGAAACCAGTCGCACCACGTTTCCTAATCTGTCATGTTGATCGTTAAGTAAATCCCACGTCTTTCATTTACATCCGCGCCCCGCTCCCATCTCGCTGTGATTTTCACTTAGATGACATATACCCCGAAAATCAAAAATCGTGAGGGCCCGCTCTAGTCATCTGGTGGGTAGGATAAAATATCATTATATGCACCGTTTCAAATACCCTAAATCCCTGCCGGCAGCAATTGGGGGATTTCACACAACTCCAATCACACGTGTGTTCTTCATGTGTCTACGGTACTGTCCCCTAAATAATTCAAATCGAATCTTTCCACGAAAACTTGCGATTTCTAGCGAAGGTATCGTACACGACTTCCGCTGGCAACGCCCCTTCCCCCTTCGATACAAGTGTACTGTTTCACTATAGCATTACAAGCCAGGCTACACTATCTCCGCTCAATCGTATCAGCGAATACACTCAGGCGAAGACATCCCCGCTTTCTATATATACTTTCTTTGCATTGAAAATGTATATATGCAACCATTCCTATCGCATCGATCATCTTGAAACAGTCACAAAATCAGTTCAGCAAAACCTCAAACATCCCTCATCCTACCTAGCAGCCAACCCATCAGCCATCTCTCCTGCCCACGTAAGTACCTTCTATTTTACCTTCTTCTTCTGTTTGACAATGTTTTGCCTTTCAACATGGCCACTCACCTTCCTCTTTCGGACTTCAAGTTTTCAGAACTCCTTCACCATGTCTTCCCAAACACCCGACATCAACACACGTCGTCGCAATCGTACCCCTACTTCGCGGGTATCAACAGCAAGAAGAAAAAGGGCGGCGGCAACAAAGCAAGAGGTCCTTTCAATTCCTGTGAGTTCCACCTGTAATTCCCAGCAACCTCAAGGAAGACGAAGAATACCCCTTCCCCGGAATGTTCCTCAAGTTCACAGGCTTGTTGAAAAGAAAGCTACCGGGTGTATGTACAACCGACGCAAAGACCACCCCGTCAACGGCGTTAAACCCAAAGACATGATGGCCTTTATTCAAGCCCTCGCTGACAAGCACATGATCGAGTGGGTATTCAAATTGGTGGACCCCGCTTCTGCTGATGGGGAAAAGCTCCTTATGTACGAGGCCACCAACGGTACTGCTTATGACCAAAGAGGCTTTGTTATCATGTGCCCCAGAGGTGAAGTTGACGAAGAAACTGGTGAACGTTTGTTGCCCCAGATCCCAACCCCAGAAATGGCCTTGAAGTGGTTCAATGAAACCTTTAAACCGGCCTACATGCAATACGTGTACGACCCGGCAAAGAAGGATGAACCCTTCCTAGCTAGTTCTCGACGAACAGGACAAGTGGTACAAGGTCCATGACACCTGGAGTGAGCTGATCACCCACTCCGACATCATGACTCACCTTGTGACGGATTCTTGGATCGATCAAGGCGAATACCGCACTGTATCCGAATTCCTCAAGGACGACAAGGGCCATGTGTACTCTATTTGGCCTCGTGGTCAACTCCCGGCTTCACGTCTTACGTCCGTTGGTTTCACCGAAACAACCTTGGATGCATCGGACTTCGGTCGCATGCGGGCCATCACTGGTGCCCGTCGCAACATTATTACAAGCCACTACGCACGCACACCATCCCCCGCCCCCACCTCTACTCCACCAGTTCGCCTTCAAGCTGCCACACTGGCCCTTCCCCATGGTTTTGCACTACCCCCCGGCATGAACTTTGAGGCCTTCTTGGGAACTCTTCTCGAAAAGCACCAGCAGGAGAACGGTGGTAAGTCTCCTACAGTAGCTTCCCGTATAAATCCCCCGTGCCCTCACTTTCAAATCCTTAATACTGGACCTCCCGATATTATTCGCAAACCATTCCCAGTTCCAATGCAACCAAATACGTCATCTCCCGTTCCACCTGTTCCACGAACCACGTCGGCCAAAGTGTCACCTGCGAATAGTCAGAATGATGACACTCCACATGGTATGAAGAAAGCTGCCGAACTTGCTCACGATCCTATTACCGAATACCCCAGTACCGAAGAAGAGCAGGAAACAGAGGAAGAAGACACCAAGCTCCCAGCGGAAGCGAACCAACCCTCCACTTAACACATACTATCACACAAAACTTTTACAACCTCACATATACCACGTTGACTTCAAAATTGCCAAACCTAAACCCTAAATATAAGCCACATGATTCATTCGATTCTATTCACCATAATCCTGTATTAGTAAACGAGTTAAACTAGTACTGGAAACGGAGACGACCCAGAGGGCATATGAATAGTTATTTATTTATTTATTTATTTGACCATCGAAACGTCTGTCCTTTGTCCGTACATTATGCGCCATCGGAACGTCCTTTGTACCATACTAGCTAGTAGTACTCGTAGATGGCTCATCGTCATGGTCTCTCGGTGCACCAACAACACCACAGCTACGCTGTAACACCACAGCTAACAGCTAACACCACGATGTCGTCCCGTGCAAATGAAGACGCAAACTAAAAAGACATGCAACGGTAGCTCAACTAAGATGTTGCGGTGGGTTGATGACTACGATGGCAGCCTAAAGCTTGTCAAAACGGTCGAGGAGATGCGAACCAGCAAAATGACCGTCTCAATTTTTGTTTCCACCTTTCAAAGCGTCCGAAAACACCCCGTAGCTTTGGCTTGCCTTGCCGATAAGGTGTCTAAGATCATGGGGGACCTTGACGTCGAATACGCAAGCTCAATTTTTTGTGCGCACGCGGAATCTGTCATGGGAACCGGCTCTGTTGCCGTGAAGCTCTCTACTCTTTTTCATAATTTGGGGGATATGGAAGATGGGACGATTTCTTCCGATATGGCATGTACACTCAAATTCCTTCCGAAAAACGTGTCAGTTGGCGACTGGAGCAACGCCGTCATGGAAGCATTTGGGAAGAATTCTTGCTACTGTCAAGGAGTGGGAAGTGGGACTACCCAGTGCAAAGATTTTGTTCGGCTCGCTGCACCCCTGCGAGATGGCAAGAAATGCAAAGTAGCGGATTTGTTTCCGTTGTTTCGGCAGCTGTGGGAGCATCCTTTTATTGCTGTTTCTGGATGGGACGAAGAAATGAAACAACTTCACGACGCCTACAACGAATTTATTCAAGACCGTGCCTGGCTGTACCGGGCACTCGACCCCGGCTTTGTCATGGTCGAAGGCATGACGGGTCCGGCATTGGCCACAGCCATGGGGAACGTTCCAATTGAGGCACCGGCTGGCCCAGGCCCAGCCGTCCTTGGGATCCAGGCCGCTCCAGTGGCAATGCCAAACTTGACGTCAATCTATCAAGTAGCCGACTTAGACGAAGCTCGTCTCACTGCCATGCACGTCGCGGGTGGGAACCCAGGTACGCACGGTTTTGGCGTATCCACAGCTGTGGGAAACGCCTTTATTTTTTAGGACATCCATCGTCAAGTGTGCCTTTTGATCCTTGGTCTGTGGGGCACGCCGAAATCGCGCCTACAGCTACGAATCCCATGTGGGATCATCTCGTCATGGCTGTGAGGATCAGGAAGAGTACGGAGGCGTCTTTTGGAGTTTTGAGTTGGGTTACGTTCGTGTTTGGAGTAGGAGACGTTCGTGATTGGACTTGGTTGGTTGATGTATTTGATATTGGGCAACCGACGATTGAGCATTGCTATTAACTGCTAGCTTCAGACTTGTCATTTTATTACCTTTTTGCAACCATGGACGACTTACTTCGGGATGCGCTCAATGGGATGGAAGTCACATTCAACATTAATTTTCTTCTAAAAAAAAGAAAGCGACATTGGCGGTGAAGTTGGCTCCAAGGAAAAAGTAGAGGCGACGGTCGAAAGGTTAAAGAGGAGAACCCTGACCTCTGCTTTACAGAGATTGCTAAGATTTTGGGAGCAGAGTGGAGGGGTCTCTCGGATGAAGAAAGAGATGAGTACTATTCATAGACATAACTTATAGAATGAATCATTTGTCTAGATTTAACTCATGGGAGGTTAAGACTGGTAGTTGCTGTTCAGGGTCTTTTGTAAATGCTAAGGCTGGAGCTTATAAAGCTTCTGAGAGACAGACAAAGCTTACTGATTATTTTAAAGTGAAAGATGGCAGAGAAAGAGTCGACAATGAAGGACCTTAATCCTACTGCTGACGGGATTCCCATGAGCTTGGAGGAGATGAGAGAGTACTTGCAGGAATACTATGGTATTCCAATTGCGCTTAGAAAGCAGGGTACCACGGAGATCAAGTGTCCTTACTGTGGAAAGAAGCATGCTCATGCACAACACCCTGGATATCATCGGGCAGGTTGTGATGATGATGTTCATCTTGAAGGAGGGATCGTTATTGGAGATAGATACTTTGTTCCGGTACTGCTATACTATCTGTGAATACACAGAGGAGAATGGGATTAAATCATTGATTATCCCTGAAAATTTACTGGAATTTGATGATTAAATTAGATTATTTTCATTTTTTTATTTTAAAAAAGAGGCTAATTTTCCGCAACTGCAGAGGAGGCTGCTTGGTTAATGCCTAGACGTTCACATAGGCGACTCCTGGAGTTCTTTAGGTTTTTCGTTTGGATGAGATCACGGCTTGACATACTGATTAGCATGCATCCGTCCAATGAGAGGGATTGGTCTAATTCTACAGTGTCATCGTCGTAATGATTGACTATACACATTGGAAACCAGTCTTTGACGTCTACTTCTTCGTCTTGATGGATCAATAAGCATAGTTGCAGTCTTTGCGGTTGGTGGCTAAACACAGCAAAGGCTTCGGCTACAAACTCCCGTTGCATGAAGTCCACCATGGTGAGGTATTCAGACAAAGTGGCATTTTGACTAGTTGTTATCCATATCACAATGGGATTTAAAGAGAAAATGGGGAGGGGGGGGCTAGGTAGCAACTTTCATTTCTGAGTGAGGATTGGCGAATAGATTTACCTTCTTGAGGACACGGGCTGATTTACATTGGGTTGATTTGTCGATTACAGCGGGGTTCCTCCTTTGGTAGTTTATTAACAGGTCTGGGTACTTTGCACTGACTTCAGGGTGGAGGTTCTGGAGTTGGTCTATTGTGTAAGTTCTAAGGGTGGCGTCTTTTTTGAAAGCAGCTAGATCGTTACGTTCGCCTCGAAGATCAGCTCTCCATACATCACCGAATTCCCAGTTCTCGTTCATACGAATTTCTGTCAAGGTATTGGCTATGCTGTTGGCGTTTGGACATATGGAGAAGAAGCCTGAGTCTAGACCTATGAGGCGTTTTAGCGCTGGTATACGGCAGCGGTTGGGTGTTTTGATGAATCATTGAAGGAAGCAGTTGCAAGCGTCATCGTCGAAGATTGCAAAGGCAGGTGATGTACTCAATTTTATCTAATGGGAGATTTGAAAGGTGTTCAAGCGTTGCGGAGTTGAAGGATGGGATGGTGAAGGACCAGTGTTTTCCCCCTGGGTCGGCAAGGTGTTCCATTATTGAATGGTCCAAGGTGGGATTTTATGACGGGTTGAAGTGAGTTGATGGCATAGTGAAAACTTAGCGCCAACAGATTTCATACCGGTTGGAGTTGAAACGAGCATGCATTGCCAGCCTTTTGTCTACAAGTGCTACAAGCTACGGGTTACAAGCACTTGGTAACTTGTTCTTGTTCGAACAAGATGCCCCTCCGGGTGCGCCAACCCAGCCACCAGAAATGAAACCTAACACTCTAGTCAGCCAGCCAGCTAGCTAGAAGGCAAACTATGTGTTGACTGATTGACAAGGATGAACTTTAAGAACAGAAAGATACATGTAGTTTAGGTACCACCAGTCGAGAGGTGGGATCAGGAGTGGGGCATGGGACTTAGCTAGCTAGGAGTAGGTCCCTGTGTGAGATTTGGAGTGGACCCAGAGATAGGCTCTGGAGTTGGTCTTGCACTACGCTAAAAGCTAGTGTAAAGATCTTTCGAGTGTTTTGAGTTTAAGAGAATGAAAGTTATGAGAGAGATTAGAAAGCTACGAAAACTAATCCATGAGCGAGATCGTTGTGAAGCTCATTGAAGTTGGTCTCCCGCGGGAGGCCTCGAAGTGTGATATCGTAGGTTATGGTAATATCTCTACGTACTCCACGGTCCATTTCCGGAACACGTGGAAACTTCAGCTAGTAGCTGTCTAGTAGCGTGGAAGCTTTCCACGCCGGCTAAATATCTAGAGCGATGTTCCATCGACAACCTAGTATGACTAGCAGTCATGAGAACCCTGTCTCAATGACTATTCGCGAAGGACTACGTCATGAGTCGAACTCAAACCCTATCTAGGATCGAGTCGCAAATAAGGCTAAGAGCCGTGTATTGCATTCGCCCCCTGACAAGGGTCACAGGAGTCACGACATCAGTCGGACAAGGAGAATATATGAATTAGAGTGCGGGGCACTCTCCAGAGATTGGATGTAGACATGTGCGTTGCACGATGGCAATTCTCCAAGGGGATCAGGCCTTGTATGGGTGTAAATACCTTATGTTCCAAGTCTGGTAGACTGTGCCACCATTGGCGGTAGCATGTCGGAGCCGTACAGTGCCATTGTCATTGACTCGGTCTATGTTGTAAGGACCTTTGTACTTTGGCTGACCATACTTGCGGTGTCCAATGGCTGGATTAACAATAGTAGGCCAGCCTTCTGGGGCAGTTGAATCACCGTTAGTGGATGACTTTGACTCATGGGACAATCTCAAGGGGATGCTGGCTCGAAATGAGCCAGTGGGGGACATTATGCCAGCCAAGAAGCCACCACATGTGGCGAGATTCATCTTCAACAACAAGAGAGGATTCCACTTTACGATGAAATGGTGGGGAGCTCTTTGAAGATTGCAAAACTTGGGTATGCTAGGCACTGATTATGCTGGGTTTCAAGAGCCCATCTTGATACTAACCAGCCAGGTGTGAGACGGAAGATTCAGGCAGCTGTGAGGAAGGATTTGACCACAGGAAGGTCACCTTATGGCAGCACTCCTCAAGATCCACTTAAGAGAATACAAACCAGGAGGGACTCTATCTCCTGGTGATGGGCCGCACCGTTGGAAGAGTGTTGGAGGCTGAGGCAGACTACCTGGGCCGTTGGACAGGACAGTTCTATCCTGCAAAGATTGGAAAGCGACTATCAGTTTACAATGTGTATACTGTCACAGATGGAAGTGTTGGGAGGGCTGGGGATAGGACCGTTTTGGCCCAACTGCATGCCATCTATGTACAGAGAATCAAGACCGTCCCTTGATCCAAGAGGAACCACTATAGATGATCTTCAGGAATGCGTGGCCAATGACATCGCCAATTGTCATGAGATTATTGTGGGTGGGGATTTCAATAACGATTTGGCAAGTGGACGAAAGGGTCTGTCACGACTGGTTATCCGACTGCAAGCTTGTAGATCCGATTTCTACAATCATGAATCAGTGACTTTAACACTATGTCAGAGGCAGTAAGAATCGATTACATCCTGTGTCTGAAAACCTTTGTATGCTGTTGATGCTTGTGGTACCATCCATTCTGTGACCTCTTCTATAGTGACCACCGGCCTGCTTTGTTGACTTCGACTTTAAACAGCTGTTTGGGTCTGATATCAGCAGCCTTACCCAAGCCTTTTCAACGAAGGGTGCATCCAAGAAACGCATCAAGTCACCAACTACATCAAATCCAAGTACAGCTATCTTGACAATCATGGATTCTTTCAACGACTGTGGAGATTACACCAGGCACCTACTCAGAGGAGGCTGAGGCCTGGGTCAACTCCTGCTCTCTGCATAGCCTCCACGTCCGCCAAAAGTGCCCAACCTATTACGCACATTCCCAGTTCCCCAGCATGACCCAGTTACGACTGAAGTTCCAAGTATTGACGATGGCCGATGCATGCACTCAAATGCCAAGAACGACGTTAACCAATCAGAATTCCGTCCACGCATGGGAGCGGATCTCACGATCCACCTTTGAACTATCCACCTGCGTTGGAAATCTGCAAGAAGAACGAAAGAAGGCAAGCCCGCAAGGCAACTTCGTTGC